GTTTTATAGTTCCTAACAGAAGTTGAGGGGGCGCATGTAAATATATAATGTGATATTATTGAAAAAGCATTTGCGTAAAGTGATGTTTGCTGAATAACAAAATTGGGTTTTTGTTATATAATAATATTAAATGACGGGACGAACAAGTTGTGCGCCTTATGGTAAGCTACGTACATGCCTTTTTTTTCTTTTTTGACGGGGGGAAATCTTTATGGATACCCCTGAGCCCAGGGAGACTCAGGGGTTATGTGGGGACTCTCCCTCCACATTGGAAGGCCTACCCCACTAAAACCCCCCCCCGGGTTTCCCTCTCGCCGGTTGAGTCGGCGCCGTGGGATCAGTGAACATTCACTACGACATGATGGGTAACCCTGCCACTTCACGTACACATTTGCGCGTGTGCAGATAGCGCCTTGCTGTATGTTGTAGTAGTAGGTAAATAATTTTCAACTGTTGTATGGAGTGCCCGGGGTGTGCTTTGATGACAAAAGTGAACCAACTCCACCAATATAGGTATAACTGTTGATCTTTGGTCTTCACAATCGTTCAGTTGAAATAACTTTTTTATAAAAAAAACCGACCACAAAAATTTGTGGAATTAAGTAAGTGAAAACCAATAAACCGACTCATCCCCTAGTTTGCCTCCTTTAAAGGTGGAATATGTTCTTCAAATTTGAATGGTACCACACTACTAAGGTACTCCCTTTCAAATTTCCAAGAGTCATCGATATCGGTTCATACAAATGCAGTAATGACGTCACATATACACCAAAAAAAATAACTACAGTTACTGTTGAATCGAGAACCTCCTTCTTTTCTTAAAGTCGGTTAAAACCAAAATAAAAAACTGAAATACAGAGATAAGAGGATTGGCTACCGCATTTGAACGTTAAACAAGATAACGTTCCAATTTGAAGTACTCTATATTGCGTGACGTCCGAAAACACGCTAGCTTTTAAATGAGTGTAATCGAATAGAAGGATCTTTTTCCAGATACTAACTTTTGCTACACTGTCTAAGACACAGAGTAGAAAATATCGCCAATTGGATATCTCTGTATTCAAAATATCTTTATTCTATAAAAATTCTGCTGTTGTATAATTATATGTATAATAAGTTCTCTTATATTTATAGTAATTGTTTATTATATAGCTCACCTGATCTCTTTTTTAACCGACTTCAAAAAAGGAGGACGTTCTCAATTCGAATCGACTTTTTTTGTGTGTCTGTTATGCAATTGAAATTGTCAAATTAATAAACATTATTACTCATTCGTAAGGCATATATTCCCTTGGCAAGAATGAGAAATTTTCCGTCCTTCAGGGCAGATTAAGCTATACTGCCATTTCACTGTCACATACTGTACATATTCATGACACATGAAACTCTAGGGATGTTCTTTGTAAATAAATATCTATTCTGTTATAATTATTAATACAAAGATCGAACACTCAGAAAAAATTCCTTCGATCCGTAATATATCTGTAATAGATTTCTCATAGATGGCGCTACGACTAAAAAGTCGTTGAAAGACCAAGTACAAAGACACGACGCAAGCACATAGAAAAATTCGTGAGGTACCTACGTTGGTTCGTTCCGTGGCTTAGTTGGTATAGCGTCTGGCACGGTATGTAAGAAGACGTCGGTTCGAATCCGACCGGATCGAAGGAATTTTTTCTGAGTGTTCGATCTTTGTATTAATAATTATAACAAACTAGTGGAGTAATTTCACAAAAAATAATTGAATATAAATTCAATAAAAATTTAATTAAATATCTATTCTGTTCACATTGACCGTTTACAATAATTATTTCAAAATAACATATGTAGAATAGGATTTCTGCCATTCAAACACGCAGAAGCACTAATAGATTAGGGTTCCTTGTGAAATCGTTCGTCCAGGGAAGTAATGCCATCTTATCTATTCCAAGCCAAGCAGTAATATGTGCATTACTGCGTTTCGGTTTTGAAGGGTGCTGGTGAAATTACAGGGACAGTGGCAGTCCTCAGATCTTAGCGATTTCAAGCTCTGAGTGGCATTACAACTGCCATGGACAGGCGTGTCGCTTAACATCAGGCAGAAGAATGGTTCGTCCCGTCACTTGTTATTAAAAAAAAATGTTTTTCTTTGATGAGAATGCAATACCAACTGTGATATTTTTAATGTGTATTGGTTAATTTGTTACTTTGTGAAGGATTATAGTTTTTATTATGAGTTAGTAAAAACAAAGATTTTTTACGTAACCTAGAATTGACCAAGGGAAATTTCATAGTGAAATAAGTACCTACCTATGTTCTACAGAAGACGAAGTGTTTACACGAGTTTATAGGCGTTTATAAGGTCGCATGATCGCGTTCATGGCTCATTAAGTATATGT